ACCTTGGCGGTTTTCCACCGATCGGGTTAAAATTCGGAATGCAGGTAAATATTATGACGTAGGCATCGGATTTTGATCATTTTGGGGATAGAATGGGGGATGAAAGTTTGTATGAAACTTAGTCAGTTTTAAGCCGATCGGCCTGAGACTTTGCATGCATAAAGCTACTATAACATAGGTATCTCTCAAGAAAGGATTTTGATAAATTCCACCCCTAAGGAGATAAAATAGGAGATGAGAGTTTGTATAAATCTTCTTAGCCACTGAATCTATTCAATCTAGAATCATTAAATCTTTTTGAGTTACATTCGGTAAAACGGTAATTTGAGACGTGGGAAACGATGTATGATAGTTTTCTTATCACAGAAGTCCCATGGGAACGGGAATTATACGTTAAAGCCCCAGGGCTCTCTATTTCTTAACCACTGAATTTATTTGATGGAATAATTTTTATCACTTAAAACTTACGGGAACTAGCACTGCACCGGTAAAATCACTGCGGGATTATTGATTTTTTTTAAGACCACTATAAATTTATTTGACAGTAAATCTCACTTAGGCTCTGAATCGATTCTGACGAATTCTGCCAGCAGTCATTATTCTACGCTGACGAAGTCGCGGGCAACAGCTAGTCTATAGATATAAAAGAAAGACGGGTTTGTTCCAACACTTATGTTTCAAAATCGGCTAGACAAATTTTCATGGATTTTGGTTCGTTGGATTTGTCCCCGCCCGGGATAGCAGAACACATCTAAAAATCATGAAGAATAATTACAAAGATGAATCGTTTTCTCTTAATGTTACTTTGTTGCGTACCTGTCAAACATTTGTTGTCCATTCTGTCAAATACTATAATTAATGGTTGACATGCCTTCAGAAATATGATTAACATTTACGCGTGCGTTCGTACATTTATTAGTAGTCTATGTTCTAAACTATTGTATTTCTGATAACAATTTCTAAGATATAATTTAAAGAGTATCGAAAACGTAAGTCTTTTTTCGAAGATTACTGATTACAAAGGTTAAAAATTACACTACACTAAAGTAATAGTCTATGATCTGAACTGATGTACAGCCTGAACAGAAATTTAATAATCCTTCGGACATCGTTTTCGTGTTTTAACTGTCAATCTTCTATCAAAATGTATGACGAAAATTAGTTTCAAAAATCCCGCAATATCATGAGATTTTTTTATTATTCTGACCAGGCTTTTATTTTATAGGTTAACGAAAACGTAGATGTCTTTTATGTTGTTTATAAGATTTATTACAAAGGTTAAAAAGTGCACTATCCAAAGTAGTACTATATGATCTAAACTATTGTCTGTTTCAAAAGTTCAGGTACTCTTTAAATTTGTTTGCAAAGAGTAAATTTGTTTGTTTCGAAAGATGAGGAAGTTCTTATTCCAAGGATTCCGATGATCCCAACGGATATGTCCTTTGAATTTAAAGAAATTCAATTCCCGATTCGTTTTGCCTTCACCATGACGATTAACAAATCACAGGGCCAATCATTAACTATTTGTGGCCTCAATTTAGAAAATGCATGTTTTTCTCATGGTTAATTGTACGTGGCATGTTCACGTGTCGGTAAACCATCCGCTTTATTTGTTCTTGCGCCTGACAAAAAAACAAAAGACGTCGTTTACCACAAAGTGCTTGAATGAACAGAGTTAATACGAATGCATCACATGCTACACGACATACTTAAATTGAATAAATTTTCTCGGTTATCCTTTAATAAATTATGCTATACTCAACTGAGGGTCAATTAATGATATTATTCTGTTTGGAGTTACCAGCGCACCCTAACGTCATTCACGTGAGCTATATCATCTGCCACAACGTTTGAACACTCAGATTTTGTTTATAACTTTGTGCGTGTGTTTCGCCGACCCCTCGCTAGATGTCCTCATATAATTAGTATTTCATCCCTCCCCGAGAGATACATTGTAGATAAAATCCTTATTAAAATCGTCTACTTAAATAAGAGTCACTGTTATTTATCAAAGCGTTTATTATTTTATCCACCTTTAATTACCACAATTTTTTGTCGACGTAGGACGAAAGTAGTCACCAATTTCGAACTGTTCCTGCGGAGCACATTAGCTTAGTTGGATAGAGCATCGCATCCGGGGTTGAGACGCGAAGGTCGTAGGTTCAAATCCTGCATGTGCTCGTAATTTTTTTGTAGTTATTTTTGAGAAATATGGTAAATATTTATTTAGCCCTCACAATTTTCTGGCGAACAGCAACAGAGATCATTTTCTGGTACATATTGTAAATGATTAAGTAAAAAATATTTTTGTTAAGTTATTCTAAATTATGCATCTGGGAGATTAATAGTATTCTAATATTTTAATTGTAAAAATATATTCCGAAATATTTTTACGTCGTACTTTCTCTGGCATCGCCCAATTTTACACAAGAGCCATCTGGTTTATTCGGTTTGCATTGCTTTAATTTCAAAGCGTACATACGCATTGTTGAGCAAAACAACGAATGCAATCACAATGTTGACAAACGTTCCGACTGTAATCAAGTTAGATTTATGTCGTAAAGTACACATAGATAATTTAGTGCAGTACACGAAAAAGATCAGCAGTTGAGATTATTACAATTTTCAAAGTACGGGTTAATTTACAGAATTGTTGAATGAAGAACAATTATGGAACGAATAGGTAGCGAAATCTGTTAGGACCCTGCGGGAACTGAATACACTTCGGTATTGTCACACCAGAGGGCTGTAGATTGAATTCATAAAAACTTTTTACTCTGGAAACTGATGAATTGTCATGTGACATAAATCCACGGTAAACTTAGAAGATAACCAATGTCAAAAAACGCAAGATTTACCTCGCTGGTAAATCATCTCACCACAGTAGTAGCCAATTTGACCCATTTTTGCATTTTTTTTTCAGGTTTTCAATAAAAATATGTCAAAACCACTTTTTGTCACTTTTTAAGCTTTTTATTTACTATTCTTCTTGGTTATTTTAGGTAATCGCTAAACATAGTTCACCATTACGTAAGCGGCGCTTTAATTCAACCAGATGTGATAAAATCTTTCAGATTTTGCATCTGTGATTATGTATTTTATAATCTGTATTTTAATATTACAATTTTTATGCGCATGACCGATTTTATCTAAATTACGTGTAACATTAGCGTATGCAGCGTACATAATCGTACAACCACATTTTTATTATTTATTCTCGATATAGGGTTTCTATTTTAGAACATTTAGCGATATAATCGACAAACCAAGACTAACCAAAACGAAATCGGTATTATTTATAGAATAAACATCTTGTCGCCTTGTAAACTCACGAATAGAAAATTAAAACGGTACAACGGTACACTGCAACGGTACACTAAAGTGGGGTCGGCGGTGCTTAGCGTCTATGTAAGTTATATACACACATATAAGTTCATTATAGAGGTACATTTACGTACAGCAGTTATCGATCAAAATCTGTCTGGGTTCTGAATGTATGTGTATCTTAGGGAAGACATGACGTCGATAATATCGATAGATGTTTTATCAAGAACTTGAGAGGTACAGCGAAATTAGAAATTGTCCATCTTAATAATTTTATTAGATTTGCGCCCGCGACTTCGTTCGCGTGATGTAGGAAAAAGGTAGCATAATTATGTTGTATTCAAATGTCCTGATTATGTCAAACTCAAAAATCGTCCTCCAGGCTCTATCAATTCGCCTGTTCGGAGATCATTTTGACAGGGAATTTTCTTCACTGTTCTTTAAGCTGGGGACCCCGACATGATTGGAAGCAACCTTCATTTTATATAGTACATACCAATGTACTATGTAAAATGAAGGTTGTGATAAGGATAACGGTACTAACCGTTATCCTTATCACAATCTTCCTCATCTATCACTCCGCTGAGTGGTAATTAAGTCACAGCCAACCTGGTGCCTCCTCAGCCTCATCAGCGTCTAGGCACAGCACTTCTAACTTCCGTAAACGCACACACCATTACGCATCTAATCTCGCAGTGTTTATTCCCCATACATAATATGGATGATGGATGAAGATAATCCCATCCCAACTATTAGGCAGAGTCCACCAACCACGACCACCCCGCCTAGTTGAAGGATCCTCCTTTTCTTAGAGAACTTTACTCCTAACAACTAAACGACATATGAGAGAAGTCAGATGATGCGCATAGACGGTCGATGACACAAATCTTATGCAAATCCAATTGCTGCACATGTGTGAACTTGAGATGCGAATGTGCGTCGCCAGCGTAGCGTAGTGTGCACACTACGTAACGTAGTAACAAATCCGTTTCATCGTTTTAAAGATCTTCGAAAATTATTTATAGTTAGAAGCTCGACACATTTTGAATGGAGCTTATATCCAAATTCTATCTCTTATATGTAAGTAAATCTATAAGTGGTTAGCATACATGGAGACAGACACAGACAGTGGTACTCGTATAACTGAGTATTACATATTACTGATTTGATACAAATTTTTAACTGAGTGGTTTTCAACACCATTACTAGAAAAGAACAGTGGGCAAAACACACCCAACTCCGCCACAGTTCAGACGACTCTTGTTTGAAAGGGTTTGTAAAGATATTAACCTTGTTTTTTAAGAGTATCTAGAGAATCCCGAAACACAACTTCATGAGCTTTAGCACAGAGAACCATGGCTATGATACCTTCCAATCGGAAGTAGTCAGACGAGACGGACGTGGGTGCGCCCCCACCCCATACATGTAAAAAACTTACAGTTCAACCTAACAAAAGGATGTTAATATACAAAGAATCCCGGGACAGAATTTGATGAGTTTCGGCACAATAAACAATGGCTGTAAAACTTTTCAAACAAAGTTAGTCAGAGCTGTGCCCATAATTTTTTTCCCATCATCCTTTTAATACTTTATCGACAACACTGTTATATCTACACTGTACATCCCTACAATACAGACGCAGCCGCGCACTCGTCTAACCAGTCTCGTTACGTACTAGTCGCGATACAGATGTGTTTGGCAAAATTATTCCCAGTATTGATTATTCTTTGAATAGGAAGGTAATAGGATAAGTGCTAAGGCCACGGAGTACGGCGAAGGTGGAAGCTTATACAGGTAATGTATTGGTTTTACGCTTATAATGAAAGAGTAAAATAAAAAAAAAATCGAAGGTGATATTAATAATTTTATTGGTTGAGTGAATGAGGACAACGTTGTAGTATCTTCAGTAAGAGGAGTTTAATGTCTGCATTAACAGGAGAATGCGGAGAATGAGGACCTACTAGAATATTTTTTTAATCATTGCCCCTCACTAGGCTTTTCTTCTGTGTCGTGAGTGTGATTACAAACATACAAGTTCACAAATACAAGACACCTAGACCAGGAACAACCATTTGTAGATCACACGGAGCGCCGTGTGGGAATCGAACCCACGGTACGTTGCGCGGTTGCCCAGCCACCACACCAACCGGCCCGTCACAGTGTTTGAGAAAGGTAATGGCGATGATTTATAATAAATTGTATTATTTTACAGTTGGCGTTGGCCGTCACCAAGATGTCTACCACTGCGACGGCCCGGTGTAGCGATGATACCACATGTATGTATTACTTTTGCTGCTAAAAATATAAATGTTCCGAAACTATTTAAAATGCACCTATTATCCGTCCGGCATCCAATTTTTCGCAAGTTCAAAGTAACAATTAGAAACGATAATATAACCGAGTGAAATACTATAGTATACCTCTAGATAAAGACACATGTAGTTTTGTTAATTAGAATGAATTTGAAGACAACTGTTCGATGTTACGGAAATTATTGTTAAAAATTAAATGCACATTAGTATAGTAGTTTGACCTAGTTGACTACCAAATTGTCGGACAACGAGTTAAGAAAATGAAAAATTTTATTATTGTTTTCAGATTCTGTGATGGAAGTTGTCTGTGGTCCACAGATAATATTAGATATTAAGTATTCTATCATTTCATAATAAGTCTGTGGACCGTGGACAAGACTTAATTTTTCATTTTTAGCTTATATTTTTATTTTTAATTATGTTATGTGTGTTCTGCGCAAAAATAAATGGTTTATTTATCTTTCTTTCTTCTTTTCAGTTTGGTTGGACGACGCTAGACTGCGAACAAACCGGCATCGGCAGTATCAAATCGAGTGGAGTTACAATAACATTAATTAATTGTAGATTATTTAAAGCGTTTCTTACTGGTCGTTTCGGTCGGTCGTTCGAAAATTAATTAAATAAATTGAAAACTAACCAAAGTCGTTTATTTATTGCATTTTTTATGGAATACCGTAAACGAGTAGGCAGATTACCTGATGGTAAGCAATCGCATTGTTTGGGATTAAACGATTGGGGGAGGTTGAGTTAGGGGGC